TTGAACTATTTTATCTTTTAAATTCATAAAATCTCTATTAAACAGTAATGTTTAGTGGTCTGCAAACAGAAAGAGAGCAAGAAAAACAACTTTTGTCCAAAATGGTGCCTCAAGACTCATATTGGAGGTGAGGGTAGAATCTAAATGATGGTCAAAGAATTAATGTAAATGGTAAGTTATATTTGTTGAGTGCCCACTAGATAATATTTTGAGGGTACTTTCTACGTATTAGACATTTTTAAATGCTTTATCTATAACTCATCTAATTCTTACAGTTACTCTAGGAGGTTGGACCTATTATTTATCCCTATCTTATAGATGCCAAAAGAGCAAACAAATCTGTCTTGGAAGAAGTGCAACCAGAATATCCTTAGAAGCAAGGATGATGAAACCACTACTCACATACTTTGGACATGTTATCAGGAAGGATCAGTCCCTGGAGAAGGACATCATGCTTGGTAAAGTAGAGGGTCAGCGAAAAAGGGGAAGATCCTTGACGAGATGGATGGACACAGTGGCTGCAACAATGGGCTCAAGCATAACAACGATTGTGAAGATGGCACAGGACCAGGCAGTGTTTTGTTCTGTTGTACATAGGGTTGCTGTGAGTTGGAACTGACTCGATGGCACCTAACAACAACAACTATCTCATAGATGAGAAAACTAAGGTGTGAGGATATCAGACACTTGGTCCAAGGCCACAGAAACAGTCGAGGAACTAGGATTTGGACTCAGTTCATGGAAATCCTGGGTCTAAGTTCTGAAATACTACACTACAGTGTAGTATACAGACTCTCTGCATAAATAGATACTGATAGATGAAGATCGAGGATGAAGGATAATAATAAAATAAACATACTATTTACTGGGTCACAGTAAAGCACATACAGGACATTGTTGGCCGTGGGGTGGTAATCTTTGTACTATTTGTTAGCTGCTCTGTGTGTATTCAAACTTCGGAAAATGCAACTTGCAGCTAGAAAACAATGATGTTGAGAAAACTGTCTCCATTTGAATTCAAAATGTGTGTGTGGGTGGAATCCACTAATTAAAAACAAAAACTTACATATAAGTCCTATCCTTGAGAAAACTCCGCCACAGAAGCCCCTCTTTTTCAGTGACTGAACTCATAAACCCTTCAAGATCCAGCTAAATGTCATTCTGCTGTGAGTCCTTTCCCCATTTTCTGAGATGGGGTGTCTCTTTTTTCTCTCATTTCCTCTACTTAAAATAATAGCTAACAGTTTATTGGGCATTTTAGTGTATTGAGCCCTTGGAGTGGTGCAAACAGTTAAATGCTTAGCCACTAGCCGAAAGATTGAAGGTTCAAATCCATGCAGAATTGCCTCGAAAGAAAAGGCTAGTGGTCTACTTCCCAAAGATCACAGCCATTGAAAACCTCATGGAACACAGTTTTACTCTGACACACATGGGGTTGCCATGAGTTGGAATCAATTCGATGGCAACTTTTTTTTTTTCCAGAAGTGTATTAGCATGTTGTAAGTACTTCACTTATTTTATCTCCTTATAACAACCCTATGAGATGGCTATTATTATCCCCATTTTGCAGAGAAACAAACTGATGTATCGTGAGATTGAGTAACTAGTCTGACTGACATCACGTAGTTAAAATTGACAGAGCCAAACCGCAAACCCCAGAAGACTGACTCCAGAGCTGGATCCTTGAACCACAAAGCTATCTGTCTCCCTTGTCATATGGATTTAATTGTTTTTCCCCATTCTTCTGACCCTTTCTAAATCACTCATTTAAAATATTAAGGATGTCCTGCCAGCTGGGCACTCTTTCAGTGGTGGGGACACCCTAGTGAACAAAAGTCCCTGCTTGTAAGATGCTTCCAGTCTAAGCAAAGGGTGGAGGGAAAAGTCTTTCAGAAACTGAGAAAAGCACAAATAAGGGCCTAAAAGTTGGAGAGAGAGCACGATCTTTTCCAGAACAGCCCTGTAACTGGAGCATAGAATTCCCCACACAGAAGGAAGAGTGAGCTGTGAGGCAGCGCCCAGACCATGAAGGTTCTCCCAAGCTTGTAAGAAGTTTGGGTTTAATTTTATTGTGAAGGTAATGGAAGCCACTAAAAGGTTTTAAGGAAATGTGGAAAATGTTGATTTAAACTATAGCCATTTATATATTTACTATATTATACTATTGCTATACTATATTCACTATACAAAGCAGTGACTTCAAAGAAACTAACCAGCCCGTATCTTTGTGCCCAGAAATTCTCATTCAAGAAGTTTTTAAAGAATAACAATGAAAGACATTGGGGAAAAGAAACGGATAAAACTTAACACTTTATTATTATTTTTATCTTAGAAGGAATTCACCAAAGGCTTCATATTATGCTATGGCATCTTTAATTATAAAAATAAGCAAATAAAATAACTTGCATCTGTCATTACCATGATATGTTTCATAACCTTTATATGCACATGGAGCTTAAAAATGTAATTTAACAATAAATAATGACATATACCAGATATGCTCACTGTTTATTCCAGTACTCAGCCAAAAAACCTAAATATCATTTAAATTATAAATACACAATGCAAATACAATGGCACAAACATGTCTAAAGTGCAACCAAATCACAATAGAAGAATCATGCAAACTGGTCTAGGTCAGCCCCCAAATCACTCTGTGCAGAAAACACAAGCGGAAGCTTTGGAAGTTCAAGCAGGAGTTGGAGGGACAGGGGTAGGGAAAAGAGAAGCAAAAAACTAGCAACATTGTGAGAACTGCTTCTTTTCATATGTGTAGATATATGTATTATAGATACATATATAAATATCATTGTGAGAAGTAGGGGGAGGGTACCACGATTTGAAGAAGTCACAGCAAAGAAGATAATCCACTGAACTGAAGTAAGAGAGACTTTTGCTAGGAATATTCATGAACTAATTGTCGCATTGGGGTCCTGGATTAGTGGGTTTGCAAAAGGGACACAACACACAAACTTTAATAGCTTTTCTGGTTCAGAGAAGTCAGCCTTGCCTGGGAGTGGAGGGTGGGGTTGAGGAGGGGGAGATTCAACTTAGAATATGGTCTACCTGATTTCCAAGAGGCTAAGGCAGTGTCCATATATTTGGGGACCTGGGAGTGGGACAGTTCTGAGTATAAAAATGCCCTTAACAATCTGATGTCAGCACGCTTAGAGGCTGTGTGAGAACAAAGGCAGCCATGTCCGTGCTGCTGCTGCTGCTGCTGCTGGGTCTGCTGCAATTGCTCTTGGTCCTTGAGCAGCACGTTACTAGTTTTAAAGGCTTTGTGGTAAAGTAGTATTGCTTTTTCATTTTTCTAGAGATGTGCCCTCCCTCCTCCCACCAGGATCCCTATCACCAGATTTGGTCAAATCTTGAGTTTAGCCTAGTGAGAGTCAAGCACCAATAGTTTCTATCTAAGCAAGTTTGGAGTGGCCCCTACAGTCCTACCCCTCCTCCCTCTTCCTCTCTCAACATTGACCTTTGGTGGGTAGTGACGCTCATAAGGGACTGCTGGGTTCAAGGACAGTGACCCTGAGAAACTACTGTTGTTCATAGATAGGTTACTCATTTGGCTTTGGTGGCCGCCATCTTGTAAACATCACGGCAGAAATGATCAAACCACCAGCTCTTTTTTCCCTCTTTCTGGTTTTTGCAATCCTACAGAGATGGCCCAGCTGCCAGGACTACTTTGGCAGGCAGAGTGCTACAGGACAAAAATATAAGAGGAGTCTATTAAGGCTGGACATCCCAGGATTATTTATACTCCCTCAGCCCCAAGTCCCCCAGACTAAAGACCCAAAGGCTGATTGACTCATTCCTGATTGACTTAATGGGAAGCCTCCCACCCTATCATCATTTTCTCAGAGTACAGGGTGCCCACAAAAGGTGGCAAATTAAGAACTGCCACTTCCCACAGTATAGGCCTTATCACACTGTAAGTGGTCCAAGCCCAAAGGGATGCTTTTTGGTTCCTATAATTCCCAGTTGGATGTGATGAAATGTTTCAGGATAGGTCTAAGTCAAGAGTAGCCTCTGGGTTGAGGTGGGCTGGGAGATTAACATCTTACCTGGGGTCCTTCAGATAAACCTGTTGGTTTTTCCTATCTCATACAGGCCCATCTTAAGTTTTGATGTTGAGTAAAACTACCTCTACCCCCTTAGTTATAAAAAAGGCCACAAGGAGCATTTATGTGGATATCTGGAAGTGAGATAGTTATTCCATTCCCAGAAAAAGAAAAATAAAGCTAAGTTACAAAACTAAATCTATATGCAATAAAGTTATTATATACTGCTTTGTTTAAGCAGAGTCCTCTGTAATTTATGTACAGTACATTAGTTTTCAGCTATTTATATTCCACAGTTAGACCTTAAGATTCTCTGGTTTTAAGACAATTGTTAAAGATACTTTTAAAGCTCTGAGCAGTTACAGTACATAAAGATGTTAGCTTTTTGTTTTTCACTAGATGCAAGAAGATACAGGCTCAAAGTCTGGTTGGAGAGCCAGGCTAGAGCAATTTGGTAAATGTGTTGGAAAGGAAATTAGACATTGGAGGATCAAGACCATAAGACACTAGCTCATTAGAGATCAAGAATTCAAACATGACATTCATATTCGTCCATGGCCAGCACAGATTCATAACACGAATTCCATTTAACATCTTTATGAGCTTTTAAGACATGCATTTAAATTAAGTTGTTTCTTATCAGCTAACTCTACTGGGCTAAAGGGCTCCACATCTTCAAATTACAATGACTTGGGAATTACATGAATGTTATGAGCTTGAGGGTAGTTTGAGGGCAACCGGGGAAAGACATGGTAAAGGAAGGTGATTAACGAGGAGAGGCAGGAAGATCACATATATTCTGTTTGTGGGAATACTGCCATTGCAGAATGTTGGGGTATTGATTACAGAAGCCTAGTTTCATGCAATTTTCTTTAAGGGGGATAGAAAATAGGAACTACTTTAAAAAAATCAAACCAGGCACAGTACACTTAAAGTTGGTGTATTAACACCCCTAAAATGATACTAGTTTGGTGAGGTTGTGAACACCTCTCCCTGGTTATGCACTCTCGTGTGAGGTGCGTTTTATGTGGGAGGGAGAGGTCCCCTCACCTCCGAGGTTCCTGAGGAGGACTTTCAGCTTCTGCGGCTCGTTGGTACGCCTCCTGTTGACATCAGCTCGTGGGTGTAGTTGGGCACAGTGGTCTGTCTGCAGGATATGGAAAAGGCTGGCCATGTTGGGTCCGATTTTCTCCATCAGGCTGTCTCTGATTGTGCTGACTGTGTCTTCATCACATTCCAGTAGGCTTCGGACAAGTCTGTTATAGTATCTGCATTAGGAAAGAGGGCAGTGCTATCATCATTTAGTGAGAGTGAGGCAAGACTCATACTTCAGCTAACACTGGTCCCAAATGGCCAGACCATGAAAAGAGAAATAGTTCATCAGCTAAAGGTGGCTTTTTGTTCTGAACCCTTATGCAGTGTCTTCTTAGTTTGAGTGTGTATGCTCCCTGGTTTTACAATACAATGCAATGCCTCCATGTTTAGAGCTCAGGAGACTGAGGTCATACTTTGACTAGTAAGCTGATTGCATCGTCTAAAATTTTTAGAAGCATAGAATCATGGAGGCAGATGGGGCCACAGAGAACCATTAGTGACTAGTTCAACTCTCTTATTTTACAGAGAAGCAGCTAAGGTGGGAGAGCTAGTGACTTGTCCAAGGTCTTAAGATAGGTTAGTGGTAGAAGCAAGATTTAGTCAAATATAATGAAATGAGCCCAACACTCAACATCCGGGTTAATAATCATTGCACATGAATTTGAGCTTATTTTGATGCCTTTTGTAATATTCCTTTATCTTGGTTGTGCGCGTGCAGGTGTACGTGCATATGAGTGTTTATTCTGACTAAACTTCTGTTTTAAAAGGAGGGCTCCTGTCTTCGGTGCTTCATGCATTTTTCTACTAAATCTAATTTCCATATCATCCGCTCAGCCAGCCTTGATGGATGTTGTTGACTGACCACGTTTTCCATCTCCCTCCAAAGGTATAGTGTAGTCATAAGGTCAAAATACCAGGCAGTAAGGATAATTAAATTGAAATACTGGTGCTCCTTAAGGGTTCTTCAGTAACCCCATGAAGGCTTCTCCCACTGCTCTAGCTTTTGCTGGTCTTTTCCTTTCTCGAACTGCTAATCGTACAGATTAGCATGTGATGGCTTGTAATGATTTTGTTGCCTTAATTAGATTGGAAACTCCCTGAAGGTAATTTAGGTGGAAAAAAAAATTAATTTGTATCTTTATTTCTGTACCCTCACGGTACAGTGCTATAGTGTTATATTGCCCCCTCATTTTAGATTTCTTGGTTTATTTTGTGGCCACTGAGGAAACGGATTTTTAAAAATATAATTCTCTCCAGTAAGTCACAATTCCTTGTAGGTATGGTAAATCTAGGAGCCCTGGTAGCACAGTGGTTAAGCGCTTGGCTACTAACTGAAAGGTTATAGGTTTGAACCCACCCAGAGGTGCCTTAGAAGAAAAGCCTGGCAATTTGCTTCTGAAAGGTCACAGCCTTGAAAACCCTATGGAGCCATTCTACTCTGCACATATGTGGTCTCCATAAGTCAGAACTCACTCAACAGCAACTTTTTTTTTTCCTGGTAAATTTTACAAAAAACCTTGTGTTTGATACAAGCTAACTTCATCTTTAGTACAATTTCTTTAAACATCCCAAACAGTGCAGCTAGGTGTCATGGCTCAGAAAGGATTATACTGTCTAATATTTATAGCATAAAAGTTGTCTGTCCTGTTCTTTGGGAAGACAGTTCAGGTATTTCCCAGTTTGGGTTGGGATACTTTTGCTCCATTTTGAGGTGGCAGTTGTCAAAGTCCATTAGCTCTGTGTTCACTAATAAAAGACTCTCTGATGATGGTGACCTGCAGTATTTATACGGAGAGACCCTTTCCTCAGAGGAGCCTGAGGATCTCTGGGGCCACAGGATCTTCCATGAAAAGAAACCTGTTTATTTTTAACTCACCTTACAGAGCACAGGATCAAACATCTTTCCAGAATAACTTAACCCCCAAAAGAAGTCCTTTCAAGGATGTACAGTAAATCGAGTGGAACGTGGGTAATGAAGCAAAACGGTCACCCTTCTGTGGGTGAGCAGAACAAAGGTGGGGATAGAAAGAGAAGTTCTGTGTCTGGGACCTGACAGATCCTGGCTATACCCCTTCCTCAAGGGAGGATTATATCCAGCTGTTGCTAAATTTGGGATTCTCTGGCACAGAGGAATATTTTCCAACCTTTGGAATTATAAAGCACATGAGTCAAAGCAGATCTCCCTGGTATGGGGAAATGGGGAGAAAACTGTTTGTGGAAAAACTGAGAAAAAACTATACCAACAGCTGCAGACAACTACATACCCACATAGTTCTCCAGGCATCTCCCTAGTCCTGGGTTTTGCTAGGACTTGGGTTCTCTGGATCTCTGTGTCTATTTTAGAAGGTGACTAGATCATAGAGGATAAGGTTTCTGATAGTCCTCTTATACCCCAATAAGGACTTTATAACTTAGAAGTTAACCCTGCTACTTCTAGCAGGACTGTTCACTTCATATGAGCCCCCCAGTGGGCTGGAAAATGAGGTCCTTCCTCAGATACCAACACTGAAAATGCTTGTCTGGATGAGAAAGTCTAATTCCGTTAAGGAAACTAAGCTTCCGTGGATAACCTTGCCTCTTAAGGCCAGAAGCTTCCCTCTGGCCCCACTTTGTTAAAGGGTCTACTCTCTTTATCTAGTGCTCCTACATTTACTACTGCTTTCTCTGCTGGTCCACGTATGACACCTGATCCTATGGCAATTTTTGGTGATGACCCATGCCAGCCTGACTGTTCTTAGTGACCTCCAAAATCCACCCTTACCTGCTTCCCTCCATGGAGCTTTATTAACTTAAGAAGGGCAGGCTAAGAGAGTTCCTGGGAATAGGAAAAAAGTCCATGGCTCCACTAATAGTTCCTCCAAGGTTGGACAACTTGTCTTATAGCCTTTAGGTCAACACATTTTGCCAGAGGGAGCAGTTGGTTAATTCTGTGCCTCTCCATGAAGGACTGAGATATGGTATTTACCTCTGGGATTGTGTTAGTCAGTGAGGAAGACCTTTCCTATAAGTCACTGAGTGAGATGGATTACTTAAGGAATTATGTTTCCAGAAAGGGTTGATTTAACAATTGTCGCATATTATTAAGCACTTTTATGTGCCAAATCCTATTGTTACTATAGTTATTGGTAAGACATGCTTTCTCTTTTAGGAGAGAATGAAAATGAATTTAACTGTTGATCACCATGGTGCATGTATATTCAGTTGTACTTGTTATTCTATTTTTGGGTTGTGGATATTCCCTGCAGCTTTTGTTAGCTGCCATTTTTTAAGTAGAAATCAAATCTCTTGGCTCAAGGTCATGTGAGTTTTAGACCTAAGGCCATCATTCACTAGCTGTGTGACCTTCAGCAGGGTACTACCACTCTCTGGGCCTCCATCCTTTAATTAGTAAAATGAGGCAGTTAGTCTAGATAACCTCTTTGATCATCTGTGGCTATGGGGGCTTGGGAGATGTGCTGCAAAGGCTGGGTGGGCTGTGTTCTGATCACCCAGCATGGAAGGACTTTTCTAGGCTTGTTTCTTTCTTCCCACTTTGAAAATTCCACCACCGATTTCTTTCTTTTTTTTTCTCGGTAAAGAATAAGATCAGATATTTTCCATAGCTACTGTTTCAGCCATGCTTACCCAAATACACACATACTGCTTAGGAACGTTCTGTGTGAGGGTTTATAAATAGTCCTTTGTTTCCCTTGATCAATATTATTCTTCTGTTTCCTGTTCCCTATCCATGCCCTAGAGAGTTGGAAGCTTTGTCAGTTTTCCCACCCTGGATCTGGACTGGTCCAATTGCTTCCCCATCCTTCCCTGCCTAATCAATTGTTTTGCTTCCATCAAGGTTGACAGTGTAGTTTGTAAATTCAGCCAGGGGAGACACTCAGCTATCCTTCCTCTTCTAGGTGCATTTCTCCCATGGAAAAATTCCTTATTCTGGCTTCTAGTCCAGTCACAGGCTTTGGATTCTCCCAGCCCCAAATCTCACTTTAGATAAGTCACAGGAAGGTGGAATGAACCTGTAACTACTTCCTTTCACAATTCTGTGCCAGTTGGCACAAGCTTAGCGTGTGTCTATGGTGGGACAGAGGCTGGGAAAGCAGGATGTTTCAAGAGAGTGAGGAGCCTAAATAGAGCAAGTCAAGCCCAGCGTGGAACCGGAAATCTCTACAGTTCTAAACAGGAATAATATTAGCCAGCTGAAGTGAAATAATTGGAGAAAGGTAAGAGTTGCATGGAAGGTTCTGGTCTTCAAGTGCTGGCCCTTTTTTTTTTTTTTGTTGTTGTTGTTTACTGACCTTTCCTAGTAAGTGTGAGTCCCCTAAGATGAAAGAGGGAAATAACAAGACTTTCTTTGTGACCATTTTATAAAGTTAGTGAAAATAAGACACCTATTAAAAGGAATAATGGTCTGATTAAAACTCCTTTTACTACTGTTTTGTCAGATAAATTGGAGTCACCAGTCTGGAATGTGTATCATCCCTTCTTTAAGACCCCTCCTTTCCTAATGGAAGATGCTACTTCAGTTGAAATAGGGAGACCAGTATTGCTTCAAAATTAGTTACCTGTCATATTATAGATCATTATTTGTCACAAGATTCTTTAAGATCTAAACTTGGAATAATGGCTTTGTTAACCACCCTCCCACCCGCCACCCAATGCATATAAACACATACTTTGCCCCTAACTCCTGTCTGACTAAAAGAATTATTTCCTTTCCTTATGATGAAGGGAGTCTGCAGTGATTTGCCAGTTGTTTTTTTTTTTTTTTCTTTCCCAGATGCAGTAAGAATCTTCCTAGGATAACTTTAAAACCAAGGTTAATATAAAGAGACAGGTCATTTGAAAGAAATAGTGGATTTGGTTTTCCTACTCTGAGCATATAAGTTAGGTCTCCACAACAGAGTCACTTCCAAGGACTGGAGAAATGATTTTTACGGATCAACATGCAATTCTGAAGAGCACTGAACTGCAGTTAGGGGTAGTTAAGATTGAATCAGAAGCTTTACAAAGATTTTCATGTGAGGGACTTTAACCTTTCCCTAAGAAGGAGTTACTTTGCTGTCTTCCAGCTACGTATGTGGCTAAGTCACCTGTAAGCCTCAGAAGGACTTGGCTGTTGACATTATCTAGAGGAGGGTGGTAGCACTTGCCGAGGAAATTAATCAGATAAGTCAGTGATAACTCTTAGATGCTGAGAGTAACAAGTATAGGACTGGTCTTTGTGAATATGTGCATATTGACTGGAGAATCAAAGGATCATAAACTTTTAGGACTAGGAGTCAACTTTTAGGCTGTGGGGCATCAAAGTAGGCTTGGGGATAGCTGAACTTGACCAGCCCACCCTGCCTCTGCCACACCTTTACTCCAGCCCCATTAGCATCTCTCTTAACCTAATCACAGATAGGAAAGCTCTGTTCTGCTGGATATTTTTCCAGCCATGTGCATGATGGAGGATGTCAGCCCTCTTCTGCATCATGAGCATCATGCATTATCCTGGCTGGTAGAGAGTAAACTTGGGGCCCAGAAAGACATGATGCTCAGATATTACTAGTTCAGTGGCTTTTAGTCATATTAGAATCCTAAGATGAGAATGTGTGGACTGTGATTTGGGCAGCCGCCAGAACATCATTTCAGAAAATCTTGGAACAGAGGAATGGAATGATGGGAATAAAGAGTGGAAGGGAACATGGAATCGTCTTTCACTTTCTGCACAAGGAATCTGAATCCCAGGGAAGTGAGATGGCTTCTTCTAAACCAACCAGTGATATACCTGATTGGGCTAAGGACTCACTCAAAATACATGCAGATTTAAAAGTCTGCATTATGACATTTTGACCAGAGTTTTTATAATAGTCAATTATACTGCTGCATAGTCATGATTTCAGCCAAATTTGATGTTTCAAAAGCTTGTTACCAGAAACTTCACAATTCCCTTCAGGCTTATGGCAAGAAACAGACAATGAAAATGCACCCAGTGATGTTGCAGATGAACCTTTTTGTTAGATGCATGGGAAGACTTTTCCTATCACAGTGGGAAAAAAATCCAGGCTGCTTAAGCTGTCACAACCAATCACAAACATATTTTTCCTGCAAAAGCTGAGAAGACTGCAAACTAAAATAAGAGCGTGACTGTGGCAATTTTACCCTCCTTCTCTGTCTGGCTCTGCTAGCCGACTCCCTCACCCCTTCAACTGCAAAAATGTGGACTCATTTTGTACCTGTTGGAAAAGTGATTGGGAAGCTGAACGACTTCAGTGATGGCTTCGGGGTTCCTCTTGGCGATGCCACACACGTTCAGCTTGCTGTAGCATTCCTCTTGCACCTCAGCAATCATTCTCTGGAAAGTGGAGCACCTCCGAATGGCGAGGAAGACCTTGGAGGTAACCCCGTTGGCGATGCACTTTAAGCTCTCTTTGACAAATGCTTTTCCCTGCCAAGAAAGGGGCATAGGAGGAAAAGCTTTAGCTTGACCTGGCAAGAGAGAACAAGGCATACTATATGGAGAACCTAAGCAGCCCTAGTGGCACAGTGGTTAAGCATTCAGCTGCTAACCAAAGGCTGACAGTTTGAATCCACCGGCAGCTCCTTGGAAACCCTATGGGGCAGTTCCATTCTGTCCTATAGGGTCGCTATGAGTCGGAATTGACCTGATGGCAACGGTTTTTTGGTTTCAGAAGGGGGCTTGCCTTGGCACTGTATCATAGCATCTGCATGTCCTTGCAGTGAGAAAACTGTGCCATGGCCAAGGGTTAAAAAAATGCCTCTTCTCTTTTAGACTACCGTGAAAATTGAGCTACATAGAAATGAAACGAGATGAGAAAAAAAGAGAGAGAGAGAAATTAACCCTACTCAACCACCCTGCAACTTAAAAATAGCCACAATATGGCTTTGTCTTCTTGGGACTGGGTCTTTGATAATTCAAAGTGTAAGATAGTATGCTGATCATACAGTGAGAAGAACTTCTTTGTTGGAAGAACATTTTTACTTCCTCTTGAAGAGGAAAAGATTTTTGCTCCCCTTATCAGACTACCTCTATTAGAGTGTTACAGATCATGCATTAGGGTGGGTGGGAAAGTGTCTTATACAGAACTTATTTCCGGCACAAAGTGAGTGTGTGTGCGCACGCTGAGAAGTGGGGAGACTGAGAAGCAGGGCTCGTTGCTTACAAGACTAGTTCATGAGAACAATAGTCTAGCACGCTGTTAAAGACAAGCAGCAAGCAGGAGCAGGGGTCAATGTCTTATTACCTGAGTGTCAAACTTAGCAGCGCTGTACAAGAAGGATTTACAGATGTCGTACATCCCATCTGTGTCACAGGTGGAGTTTTCCAGGCATGCAAAAGCCCCACAGCCAACCTGTAGAGCACTGTTGAGGCAGCGAACCACTTCAGCTGGAAGAGACAAACCCATCCAATCTAGGTCAGATAGTGAGGGTGATTTGGTGGGGTCAGGTGGGTGCAGAGGCAAAATGCAGGAACAAGGAGTTAGAAGAACTTATCCTAGAAGTCCATCATGGGGTCAGCAGATGGGCTGACTCAAATGGGGCATGGGAGTGGGAAAAAAGGGGACAGGCAGGCCCTTTGGCTTATAAGAACCAGACCACGTGAAGGAGAGGGAATGAGTCTTTCTCTGAGACACATTTCCTCAGTCTCCCCATTCTGGTGGCTAGACAAGTAAGATGGGAGTTCATGGACTGCACAGTGGCCTTTAAGCAACTCTATAGAACCAAAGGTCGTCCGTTGAAGCCTGAAAGCATGGGAAAGCTGAAGGCAATGGCTGGTGGTCAGGTTTAGGAGGTGGGAGGGCTGGGAAGTCCATCTGGCTTCCAAAAATTCACTCCAGAGTAAGGAGGATGAAATTTTAGTCTAAATGGTGGAGAAGAATTTGCCAGGAGTCCACGTGGAGACTCTTCTGATTTAGGGCATTTAACTTACCTTCATATTGGCAAAAAAAATCTGATCAGCTCATGTTTCACCCCAGCCCCCACCATAGGACAGTGCTTAGAGGTATGTATAATCTCTCATATTAAAAGCCCCCTCCTTTTTTATTTAAAGAGAAACACAGGTGTGGAATAACAAGGCTGAGGCATCCCTTGTGCAAGACTGGAAGAAAACCGCAAAGAACTTGCATGAGGCTTTCTACATTCTGGATAAGATCTCCCATAAAAGTAATTTCTCTCCTACAGAAGGGGGGTGTTCTGGCGGGCAGCTCGGCAAGAAATGATCTGCAGCCTTCATACCATAGGATTCTCCTCTGAGATCAAAAGCAGGGTTCATTTAGTCTTCCCCACCCCCTCCCACCACCCGCAGCCTCTGGGATGTTACAAGTCATTTCCCTAATTATATATTTCCACCGGTTCAAATTATAACTTTGCTTTAAGCAGTTTTAATATGCATTAGGGCTGCTATTGTTTTAGGCAAGCTCAAATTGTGAATCACTATAGCAACTAAGTACAAAAGGAAGTGAAGCAAATGCCCTCCTCTCGCAGGGACCTGTGCTCTTCCAAGGGGAGCATCGGCTGCAGCATTCTGACACCTGCCATCCCATCTTTGGTGACAGTTGGGGCAGAGAGGGCAGTAATAGAAGAGGAGCAAGTGGGGCAAAAGAAGTCAAAAGGCAAAGGTGTCAGTGAGCCTTCCTAATGGCTCTTTCCCTTTAGAGGCCAAGATCGTACACAATGAACTGCTCCAGGAGTCAGGACTTAAGGGAGACCTTTCCCTGGGAGAGACAGCTGCTGCATTTCACAAATACTCTTTTTCAAGGGGCTCTCTGGCCATGGGCTGCACCAGGGATTGAATGGAGCCTGGGAGCCGGGAGTGAGAGAAGGAGCAGTGGTGGGGGTGGGATGTGTAGAGTTTTCTCTGAATCCACCCTGGATTTGTCAGACTTGAGGGCTATGGTTCGGTAAATCAGTCTGCAGACGGAGCTTTTCTGTGTGTCCCCAAGCGAGGCAGGGATGTCAAGTTATAGGGTCTTAAGGGTAAGAGGGACAGCATCAGACAAGCTATGTCTCACCTTAAGATCAGCTTCTGGAAAGTATAGAGAGCGCTTTGAAGCATGCCAACATTCAAGCCTTTCCCCGCCCCCTCCTCCCCAAGAGGGTACGTGCCAGATTTCAGGCAATCAGGCTAGGCTTATGCAATGAAATACCCTCAGCAGAGCGCCCAGCTTCCTCGTTAGTTGCATGCAATTTATTAAACAAAGGAGCTCCACTTCCTAAGGCTATTGGATTACATTGGCAGTTTATTGCCATCAGGCATGAAGCACATTTATTATCAAGATCAGCCGTCACAGACACAGTTGCAAAAGCGAGAGGCAAATGAGGACAGCTCTTTGGGGGAGAAACCGGTCCTGGGTTTGCTGCTTACCTGAGTTCTGAGCTGCCACCCGGGATTTCCTGGGGCTCACAGAGTCATTCTGCTCCGCCTCATGGGTTGCAGAAGCACTGATCACCAGCACCAGAAGCACTGCTGAGTTTTGGAGCATTCTCTGAGAAGTTTTCGCTAAGTTGTTGGGTTTTTTTTTTTCTTTCTCCCCCCCTTTCCTCTTTCCCTCTCCCGGTTTGAGTGAAGATGTGGATCTGGATACACTGAAGGCTTAGGTGAGGATTTGATGAGGGTTTTTGTTGCTGCTGTTGCTGCTCCTGCTGACGCTTCTGCTGCTGTTACTGCTGCTGCTGCTGCAGGCGCTGCTTCTTGCACCTCTGGCTTTTGCAAACTGGGGGCCCAAGAGCTGCACCCAGGGATTTTATAGCCGTTCTTATCGGTCCTCTGGATCAGGGACCAATCAGGTCCCTCAGCTGGTCTGACTAGCCAATAGGAGGGCACACTCATTCAGCTGGAGCTTTTGACTTCTTAGAAATATTTTCCAGCAAATTAAAAGTACCTGCTGGCAATGTTTTATGTATGTGAATGTGTGTGCACAGACGTGTGAAAAAGCTACTTTCATGGAATTAGGGATAAACGTTCGTATTGGTCAAATTAAAGGAAGATTGTATGAAAATCTCTCCAAGGGACTTTTTGAAATACGTCCATCATTTTTTATGAGCTACTTGGGGGAAATGGGTGGCATGGGCAGGATGGGGAGCGGGCATCTCTTTGGATTCGAATTTAACCTAATTGCAGCAGCTTTACTCTAATTTTAACACCATGCTCTCTGTGTTGTAAGCTACATACACAGTACCTCCTTATTTTCTCTGCATCTTTGTATCCTCAGGTCTGTGATGTATTTTTGTTGTATGTGGGCATACTGAGTTCTCACTCACATATATGAGCCCTTGAGGAGGCATATATATGATCCTGCTGGACTGAGGTATGGCGGCTCTGAGCTGTGGCCCCAGTTCTCCTATTGATTAACTCTCTGACCCTGGTCAAATCCTTTTACCTTGCTATACCACTGTTTTCCAATCTATAAAATGCCAAAGTTGGAGCCCAGCATTTCTCATACCTCTAAAACTATGTGATTATTCAGCAACACAAATTAACCTTGACTCCATTTCTTCCATCACTGGCAGAATTGCAAACCCCAGGAGTGTTAGCTATCCTAAGTACGCAAATGCACACCTACACACACTACACTCAACAAGGAGACATCATGAATGCCTGAAAATTAATAAACTGTGTATTTACGCCCAACAGCTTCATAATCACTTTGAAACAATAAGCTGGCCAAAGCAAGACTAAACCTGCTGGGTAAACCAGCTCATTTCTTGGGGGGAAGGGGCAGGCTGGACTGGGAAGATGGGGTAGGGAAAGACAAGAGTGTATAAGAGAGAAGACTGACAAGCTCTAGACTTAATGGGAAAATTACAATGGAATCAGAAATCATGCCTAGTATAGAAGCTCATATTTCTTACAAGCAGGCTGTAAGCATCACTGAGGCTTGTCCCTAACTTGTGAAGATGACTAAAGAGCCAAGAGAGGTCTTTTTAGGGTATAAAGGTGGTCGCTAAAGGTTAGGGTGAGAAGAAGGGGTTAAGGAATAAAGTCTTTTAAAATTTTCAGGAGGTGAATGAGAAAAGGACATTGGTGATTCATACAGACAGGGGCAGGATGATCTTGCAAAGAAGCAGAGCCAGAGGCTTCCATTTAAATCCTAAAGGCTTCACACAAAAGTTGAAGCAAGAGCACCAATTTTATTAACTGCAAACCAAACCAATAATCAGCTCTGTAGGTGTACAGGGAGTGGGTTTGCTGCATAATTATAGCTCCCCTTGCAAAAAAAGTTACTTATTTATAAATTTTTATTGTGGCAAATGTATAGGTAACAAAACATTTGCCATTTCAACAATCCAAAAAAGGTTGTTTAGAAAGCATGAATGTTTACTCTGCTAGAAAAAGGGACAGAAGGAATACAGGAAATAGCTAAAGTAAAAAAAAAATAAAACGGGGGATTTTCAGATTTTCATCAGATAATGAATACGTTTCGTCTTAGATCAACCGAACAGTATCAGTCTTTCTTGAGTATCTGTTTATGGCTTCTTCTGGGCTGGATGAGAAAGGATGAGTTGGGGAGGGTAAAAGGGAAGATATATAGATAAAGGAAAAATAATGATTCTTGTCCTAGAGGAGTTTGTAGTCAAGTTGGCAAAATGGCCAACTCATTAAACTTCTTTAAGGTGCCAGATGTCGGGACCTTGCAAGTTAAGACATGGGAATGGTCAGCATTGGCTAGAGATGTGGGGTAAGTCTTCATGGAAGGATCCTTAAAGAACTATTAGTGGGGAAAAGATGTAAGCCACTGTTACTGCTTTTCAAGAATTTAGGAAAAAGCTACAATATTTCATGTTTTAAAAAGTTTTTGTTCTGGAAAGCTCAGAGGTGTTTTATTGCCTTTGGCAGGACTGGTAGACATATGGCAATAAAACATAGCACTTCAGTATTCTCTTTCAGAAGGAGAAGAAGAGGACAGATGCATATTTTCTTCCTGAAGATCTTGATTCCTATTCCTTAGCATTCTCTATCTCTGTAGCCATTATTCCATTGTTAAAGGCCATGCCATTTGTTTCTCTTGTTACGTTTTGCTGCTGTTGGTCTACTGGCCTTGTAGGGGTATGAGTTGCCTCCTGGAAGTCACATTTGTTTGCCAATTTTCTGGTGCTCCCACCAGAACATGATGTCCTACAAGTGTCAGGATGTGTTTTGTGTTTTTTATGATGTTGATTTATTATTCCTCCTTATTTCACTCATTTACTGTCATGTGGCAGGAGGTTCATTTTTAGGTGTGCAAACTGTCTCACAATGTCATTTGAAGGAATCCAAGAACAGTCAGCCACATTGGACTGAATATAATCAATGTGAACATCAATACATTTGAAAACTTCAAGGGAGAGAGATGAAGTCTAAGTAGAAATACCCAATTTAAAGCTTCTTTCCAGGTGTCCATGTGGGAGAATATCCAAATGTCCATACTCAATGTGCTCTTGTCTTGGACTTTGATACAACAATGATAAGTCTTAGGAAATCTGGAAGTGAGGTCTGATTCCTTTGTAACATCTCTTTGGGGTATGAGACAATATAAAGGAGTTTGAACATTAGCCTCTGGAATTTGAATTTTATAGTGCCAGTAACAGGGAGTCATTAAAGGTTCTTGAGTAGGAATTGTTGAATAATGTGTTGAAATTAGTGTTTTGGGGAGATCTTTGGATGATATTCATGATAGTTTGGAGGAAGAAAGGAATGGAGGCTATAACAGCAGTTAGTTTGTGGTGATGAAGTCCTGGACAAGGAAGGGGGCAGTAGGAAAGGAAAGGCGATAAATATGAGAGATATTTTAAATAAAATAGAAAATTTCAATTAATCTAAGAGGTTTATTTAAAAAAACCCTTTCTTCGAATTTAATGATAATGGAGATACCATATATCAGGGCTTTCCCCTTCCCATTTATTAGTTATGATTTTTCATTGGCAGGACTACCTAGCATCTCCGTTAGATAGGCCCTTTCTGATATTCTGTTAAGGTAGTAGAGTTACCTAACAAAAGGACTTGCCTGTAACTCCGGCAGATGAGGAGCCTTCCCAACCCTGGCCATGTGAGGTGGCGGTGCCTCCAGGTGCAGTGGGTGGGAAGAGAGGTAGTCTTTGCCATTACCCCTGAGCAGGGAAAGTGCTAAGAAGTGGGTGGGAGAAGCTGCCAACACCTAAGGCTGGGTGATGATGCCCTGGCTGTGCCTGTGCAAGGCTGGCATGAGTTCAGTGAGAAGATAAAGCCAAAAATCTCCAGGGCTTTGTTGGATTTGACTAGCTTAGTGCTAAGCAGTGAATGGCTCTTTGCCTTTTCTGAGAGAGGAGCCTCAAGAGCATGGATTTTTGTTAATTGTTTTCTTTTCTGTTGTTGTTGTTAACACAGTAAAAAACTTACCCAGGTTGGTCTGCCATAGTGACCAAGGTTGGACGGTTCTTCTTTGGGAATTTTGGGCCTGACTGCACTGTTCGACTTTTGAGTCATGCCTTTCCAATCTCATGAAAAAGAAGGAGGGGAAGGAGGAAGATGAAGAGAAAATAAATATTTTCATGAGGATACCAATTTTTCTCAGTGGATGATCCCAAATTCTTGAATGAATCCGTGCCTCTTTATTTGTCTTTGATTGCTTTAAACTCTACCAAAGGAAAAAAAAAACAGTGAGAAAATATAGTAAGAAGGGAAACTCCACCCTCCCCTCACTGGTTTATGGAGGGTTACTGTGTTTACCTGGCACTAGGTCAGGTGCTGTGGGAAGTGCAGAGAAATGGTTCACCATTTCCTGTGCTCCATGAATTCCCAACCTGCTTCTTAAAGCATGAATCTTATATATAAGGAAGAATATCTGTTTTCTGGAAATATAATATGGCAAGTGGGTTGGAATAGAGTTTGCAGCCTTGGATTCAACTAACAGTCTCTGGGTACCTGTCTATGATAATGTATGCCAGGCATTGCTATAGATGCTTTTTCATCCATCATTTGTGAAAAAAGAACTGCCATTTTCTTTTCCACAGGAGGAACCCAAGGCCTAGAGAAAAGAATATCATGGAGCTCCAATGAGTTTTGCTCATTATAGAAGTAGCTCAGGTTTTTCTTCAGTTGAGTGACCATTGTGGTGGTGGAGATGGCTTGCATGCTTACAGTACTGCCCTGGAGGCAGAGTAGAGGGATAAAGAAATAGACAGGATACCCTAACATGTTTAAACCGGAATAGGCAAGTTGAAATTAGCCTCTAGTCCTATTACCATTTTCTCCTCATTCCTTCAGGTATAGTTACCGTGTCACTTTGGATCAGGGAGGACAAATTCACCATCCTAAGGCGGTCTGGGCATCTTCAGAGTATCACGTAAGGCTCCTGAAGAAAGGGTGAAGAGCATTTGTCTGTCATGGATCCTGTCATTAAATTCTCATGGAATCCAGACTTTCTAGAACCATGGAGGCTGGATGAACTCCCAAACTATTGCCCTGAGATAATCTTCATAACTTAAACCAAAAATATCCCCTGAAATCTTCTTAAAACCAAACAACAGTTTAGCTTAATTAGTACAGAATGTCT